CCAGCATATGCAGGTGGAAGGGGATGGATGATGGGTATGAGGGGGGGGGGGGGAAAGACTCTCTTACAAACATGACAATATCCTAATGGGACAGACAAAAAAAAACAGAAAACGAAAAAAAAAAAAAAAAAAAACCAGAAGAAAGTTGAGAGTAAAGGCGAAGAGAGAGACGTATGAGTATCATATTTATCATCATCATCAATACTACGTATTACTCGTAACAATAATACTCGTACAGGAAAGAGTGAGACACGAGGTGCATTACGATTCAGGGGAGTCACAATGACCCGCAGATGAACGGAAACGACCCCATTTGCTAGCTCTGGATGATGTTTTGGCCGTCGTATTAGCACCTGTAGATGTTGGGGAACCGGACGTGTCGAGCTCTGTCTCCTCATCTCCGTCCATGCCCATCACGGGAGTCCGCGATCAGGGCAGCGGGACAAGGCAGGACAGCCTTGGCAGTTGAGACTCGGCCCGCTCATGATCTGTACATGTCGTGTAGATAGTACCGACGAGAATGGAGGATGGGAGGGAAGAGACCGTCCATGTCGATGTTCGAGTCGATGCCATTCCTATCCATCTCCTCTCTTGCTTGCTATACAGCCAACTTTTCGTCCCGCGGAAACCGTGGAGATGAGTGCTGATGATACTGCGAGACTGACAAGAGCACCCCGCAGACCTACCCAGCTAATCAACAGTAGCGCGGCAACCAAAGCAGCGGCGAAACGGTACCGTGCGATGCGATACGACGTAATGTGGGATGCATAAATTGTGCATCCGTCTCGGCTGTCTGTCTGTCTGTCTGTTACGGGGGGAGGGGGGGGGGGCTGTTTCGGTGTACAGATTAGACTGCTCGTCGCTGTCGGCGCTGTCCATCATGACCATTCATTCACCTACATCCAGTCGCTCAGGCACGTATCTTTCCCTCTTCTCTTCCCTTTCTTTCATTCTTTCCTTCTCTCGGCATATCGGTAAATCCTCTCTATCTCCTCCCCAGGTATGCATGACTCAGCCCTTAGGACAACACCACGGTGGTGAAACAGCGGCGTTTGATGAATAACCCGCTATCGATGGCAATACGCATGTTCAAGCTGTGCTCATCAACCTTACCACCCAGTGATAGCATATCGATACATGGCACGAATCATCAGATGGTGTCACGTAGTCGTACAAGGCGCAACGTGAGAAACGGTTTATTTCTTTTATTTCTATCATTTCTAATATTTCTTATCATACACACACACACACATATATATATATATATATATATACTAAAAAAAAAAGGCAGATGGTTGCGTCATGCTGGTATTGGAATGCCTCCAACGCTTGTACTCGGTATATACTTGAGAGAAATTAAAGATATTACCATGTTCATTCTCCAATCTTCATTGCCTGTTCTCTGTTCCTCTTCGCCTCTTTAATGGATACCTTTGCAAATCAGCTATCCTATACATGGAAGGGATTTACTCCCGTACATGTTGACATACATACGAGTACACACACACACACCCAGAGAGAGAGAGAGAGAGAGAGAGAGAGAGGAAAGAAGGCAGAAAAGAGAAAAGATTGGCACCATGACTCCAATTCCGGTCTGGGGTGAGGCACACCCTCCCTACCAACCAGTACCGACCGGGTCCTGTTTCAGTCTAGAGAAGAGGTCGGGACTCAGAAAAGCCAAGGGTTAGCTGCGCAGTCGAAGCAGGTCAGAGAGCACAAGAGCCCGATGATCAGAAGCCGTGAGGGGAGGCGAGACGTGAGGCCAGGTCTCTAACAAAGCCCCACCCAAAAAGTCGACAAGACTGTCTAGGTAGAAGAGGCAGGGCGGTGTTGATGACTTGTACGGATATCGTACGCGCACCTGTACATGCATCGCCACTATTACTGAGTAAGGCTGTAGCAGCAGCAGTAGTGATTGCTGCTTGGGAAGCGAGCGATTACGAATGAAGACGGGTTGAGGGTATCCGTCACTCCGTACTCCTCCGTACGAGGCTATTTCATCGCTAATAGTAATAATGATAATGATGATGTTAATACTAACACTACTGATAATAATAGCAATAGTACGGATAATTGTATCATTACCAATCTGCACAGATGACGGATGGTACAGTTTACTCTAGATTGCTCTGATCTACGAGTATTATGCATTGATACGTGATATACACTACAGATGTACGGAGTACTGCAGATTACATACACTGGTTTGACCGATGGCCGATGGCACACGAGCCGAGTCATCTTATTTTCCAGGAAAAAAAATGGGCGTGGAAATTGCAGATTTCGGGGTTTGCCATCGAGATACGTGCCAGGTATCTCAGAGGACGTGTAATATTACGAGGAGGCTCGTCTGTGATGATAGCATCGATGCTGCCTGGTGATATATACGTACAGACTACTCGTATCGATGTACTAGCCAGTAGCCAGTGGCCTGTACATATTGGATATCCATGCCCATCACTAACCCACTCGTGACAGACTCGTAGGCGCCTATGCCGAGAGTACTGGCGATGGTGATAAACATAACCTGCCGTACTCCATGGTAAATGGGTAGTATCGGCAGTCGAGATGATATCGAGCCTGAAACGTGGCAGGACAGGAGGCAAACCAGTCGTACGGTATAGTACCCGGCACGCTCAGCACAGACATGATTACTCGTGCTGTTGCCCACAATGTTTAACGAGTGACCTTCCGCCTCTCGACACCTGGTGTGTGCGAGCGTGAGACATTGGCACCAAGACAGAAACAAGAGGGTTTCTTGAATCTTTCTCTGCTCCCTTTAGGATTCCGGGCGAGATGAGAGTCATCATTCATCGTCATCTCAGCTTCGTTCACCCATCCATCCGTCTGCGTACCCCGACGTCGGCGGGGTACGTTTTGTCGCTCCGCGCTGCTGCTGCTGCTGCTGCTGCTGCGCCTCACCCCAGCCTTGAAGAAAATTTTCCCCTTCTTTTCACGATGGGCATGATTTCCGTCTGTGGAATCGTATTATTACTATCCATCAACCCTTGTTCTGATATATGCTCTCATGTACGAATCTTCCATCAGTGAATATGAAGAGGTGAATATCGTAAAGGGGTGAATATTCCCTGCATAGAAAAAAACCCAGTAAGATATAATGATACCCGAGAGGAGAGTATCATACCATCCTCTCACCACTCTGACTGCGTGACCCTCAGGCTTCACCGAGTCATGGCAACCTTGGAACTCAACTAGCCCCCAGCTCGTGCATCCTGTGCGCATCACGACGCTGTGCGACAATAGGCAGCCAGCTCCAAGACGCAACATGCCTCTCTCCCTTCCCTGGGCTTCGATTTCGTCTTCCCTGCTTTAGGAAAGGGGGGGCCTAGGCGTAGAGAGACAGGGGTTTGTGGTGGGAGG